AAGTCCTCTTTCCTGTTTTCAGTTGCACTTGTAGCTGCCTTGATGTCCTGAGTAGATTCTAAACTCTTACCTTTCGTGGTTGCTTTGATTTTATGGGAGAAACAGAAGCCAGATCCAGGGAATACACTGGATGACGACCCACCATGATATTTTTACCAGCCTGCCTTGCCATTGGCTGGCACTCAGCACAAGCATTTGCAGGATTTTTTTATATTTATTAAAGAATAGTTATTAGATTGGTACAGATGTAAAACTGCCAAAGCAAGGATGAACGTAAGAAAGAGAAAGATGTAGGTACTGTATTTTAAAACATAATAATATTACGGGGTAATTCTATAGGTGCAAAGAGATTTTTATCGCAAGGTACATGCATTCCATGTAACATTTATGCTTTTGGTTTTTCCTTTTACTATAAAATATGTTAAAATACAAGCATTGCTATTAACTGTCAGAGATGCTAATTCTTTCAATGGCAAGGCCACACACCTGAGCCCTGAATTAAAACGGTAGATACTAGATGCCGATAGGGACTGTAAATTAAAAAGACTAGCTCACATAATTTACTAAGGAAAACGGAGCCACTATTCTCTCTCAACACTCCCACAAAGATTGTGTTATACGACAGTGTATTATATGTTTATTTTAAAAGGGCTAACTGGAGCTGGGGATTTGGCTCAGCGGCACAGCGCCTGCCTGGCAAGCGCAAGGTCGTGAGTTCGATTCCCAGTACTAGGGGAAGAGGGGGCGGCTGAACTATAATACAGGTCCCTTGACTCCATGTGTATAAGTTACTCTTTCTACTGTGGTATGAATATCTAAGCAAAATGAATATGGATATCTAAGCAAAACATAGTTAAAAGTCAATTTTCTTCATTCTTTAGTGATATTTTTCATAAAAGATTGTAAAATCATTGAACTACACTTTAGAAATAAAATTTTTGACCTTATTAAGATGATTAAATTTCTTAAATTAAAAGGAGAATTAATAGCTCTATGAACATAGACCCAGACCTTACCATCCTTGACCTGTGCCCTCTTGCGTTACTATAGCAAGAACGATTTTCTCTTCGCTGTATCTTTAAAAAATTAGAATGTGGATTGTACACACAGGTTTATTTCCAGGGGATAATGTCTTCTTTCTGACCACAGCTTACAGCCCAATAGCTTACTGCTGAATCATGAACGATTGGCGCTTATGTCGTTTTCTGGGAAAAATGGGCTTTCCTGCTCCCGCCGATGGTGGCTGCTTCTGTGCGTCTGATCAGCTTCCTCCCCTGCCACACACACTGCAGGCTCTAATCAATCAGTGACACGCGAGTCTTAGCAGCATCGTTAGTAAGGGGAAGGGCAAGGAGGAAACAGGATGCTTAATAAGCAAGCATTAAATGATCACTAATATAAAGTGCATATACATCTGATATTTTCCTCAGAAAGTCATGGATTGGTATGAAAACCTCAGGTGGGAGTGAATTTCCTCAAATTAATACTTTAAATAAGAGAAGACCGGGGCTGTGGATTTAGCTCAGCGGCACAGCGCCTGCCTGGCAAGCGCAAAGGCGTGAGTTCGATTCCCGATACCGGAAAAAACAAAACAAAAAAAAAAATTAAAAAAAAAAATAAAAGAAGACCATAGCGTTTAATACCTCACCCAACTCCTCTGTCCAGATTACTAAAACACCCGACACAGTAAGATTGTGTATGTTAACTATGTGAAAATATCAATGCTTAAATCACAGCTTAATTCTAATCATTCAACTATTACTATGGCTGACAATAAAAAGCTGTTGCACACAAAAAAACGAGAAAAGACCACACTAACAAGTTTAAACTTGTTAAAACTCCCCTAGATGATCTCTAGGTTATAATCTCATAATGCTAAATTATTAGCCCTGGGTGTTCTAATTGGTTGTTTTTTTGTTTTTTTGTTTTTTTTTTTTTCTTTGTAAGAAAGGGTATCATTAGGTAGTTCAGGCCGGCCTTCAGCGCTTCTCCTGCCTCAGCCTCCTGAGTGCTTGGATTACAGGTATGCTGCCTATGGCTGGTTCCAATTGGTATTTTTAAACTTGCAATACACGAGTCTGAATTGGACAAGAACAAGGACATATTTGTCTCTAGAGGTGAGGACAAGTGTCTTTTGTGTGTATACGCATGAGTCTCCCCAATAAAATTCTCTTGCTTCCTTTGTTGGGAAATATCCCCAGTGCTCTCCGTACTTATTACGGATAATAAAACTTCCTTTGCTCTTTTATCTTCGTATTGTCTTTGCATTCATCAAGGGCAGACTCATTGTGTTTGATTCGCGAACAATCTTTTTTTTGGGAGGGGGGAGTTCCTCCGGTACCGGGAACCGAACTCACGACCTTGCGCTTGCCAGGCAGGCGCTTTGCTGCTGAGCTAAATCCCCAGCCCCTGTTCGTGAACAATCTTATTCCTAGGTACATGCTCAAAAGTAAAAGCATGTCTATAAAAATCGTGTCTGTGAATGTTTGTAGCAGCTCTGTTCATAAGAGTTAAACGGAAACCCAGAAGTCCATCAGACGATGAATGGATAAATAAGAGGTGAAATAGCCATACGTTGGAATATAATTTGAGAACAAACAGAAATGAGATACTGGTACATTCTATAACAAAGATGAGCCCTGAAAACATTCTGAGCCAGTTACAAAGAAGCACAAACTGTGTGATTTTATTGCCAACCTAGGGCTGTTTTGCTCCCTTCAGATGGAAATCGCAGATCTGCGAAGTGCAGTTCTGCTAGCACCATCCTTATGGCACCCGACGACACTGGATAATGCTGGGTGCCATCAGTTGACACAGCCAGCTGCTGTGCCGCTGAGTAGGCTGCTGGTCTCGGGAGCTCTTCAGTGTTAAGAGTCCTTAGTATTTATTGCTCTTTCTTTTGAAAAGACCGCTCTGTCACACCACTCAGGTGGATTTCTACGACTTTTGGAGCTCACACTACACAAGAAATAAATCGGGGCTGGGGATTTAGCTCAGCGGCAAAGTGCCTGCCTGGCAAGCGCAAGGTCGTGAGTTCGGTTCCTGGTTCCGGAGAAAAACCAAAAAATAAAAAATAAAAAAAAATAAAAAAATAAAAAGAAATAAATCACGAGCAGGTTTACAGGACGACCAAAGTGAGTCTTTTTTTGTTTGTTTGTTTGTTTTTTTGGTTTTTCTCCGGTACCAGGAACCGAACTCACGACCTTGCGCTTGCCAGGCAGGCGCTTTGCCGCTGAGCTAAATCTCCAGCCCCCAAAGCGAGTCTTTATAGGGCTTGTGCTGCAGCAGATGGTCAGTATCTGGAGAGAGCCCTCCTAGACTAATCGGAAAAAACTGTGGGGAGTGCTGTTTATATAGCGGCTGCAGGCCTGTGATTGGTTCAGGGTTCCAGGACAGCTTCAGTCGTCATAGCAGCGATCCAGTGAGGATGCAGAGCTGAAACCAGGAAATCTTCTGGAAGGCCAGCTGAACGGGTTGGGATGTTAACAATGGGCGCAGATTCCTCCCTCCCTGGTCTTGGTCGCATCAGGGTGCCCCACTTCTTCACGAAGGTCACAGAGCCACCGTAGTGGGGGGAGTGCAGGAGGAGCCCTGCCCTTGTTTTGGAGTGGTGAGAAGAATGGCCGCTAGACACGAGGGAGGATAGCACTATATTGCCAGGAAGGACCTGGAAGCAAGTTGTCCCAGTCCATAGGAGTGGGGCAAGGGAGAGAAAGCTGGAAGTTTGAGACAGTGGCTGGCCAAGCCACGCCCCCTCCAGCCTAGGTGGGGCGGGGCATGAGGTGGGAGGGTGTGAGGGGTGGAGCACTTCTCTCATCTCATTTATGGGGCTCTCGGTTTTAGTTTTGTTTGAGGCAGGGTCTTGCTGTGTAGTTCAGGCTGACCTCTAATTGGCAGCTATCCTCCTGCCTCAGCTTCCCCAGGAATGGGATTACAGGTGTGTGCCACCATGCCCGAGGTCTCTGAAGTAGATGTGATTACTGAGGGTGGAAGGACTGGGGGGTTAAAAATGACTTTTAAGGAGTCCAGATTTCAACCTAATGAGACTGTCCTGAGATCGTATTGATGGCTGTACAAGTCTGTGGCCACACTAAAAACCATTTGAATTGTACATTTCAAGGGGAATTTTTGTTTCTTTTTGCCAAGTTACACCTCAGTCAAGCTGTTCTTCGTTTAACTGTCGCAGTGAAAGTTAAGCCCAGGGCCACACACATGCTAGGCAAGGCTCTGCCACTGAACTACTTGAAACTAGTAAAGGTGTGTTTAAAAAAAAAACACAAAACACCAAGTTCCTGACTGGCCAGGTCCCCACTCCCCTTTTTTTAAATGTCTGGGGACACTGAAGTGCAGAAGTATCACGTACATGATTCCAAGTTTGGGATTCTGGGTGATGGCAAAATTAATTTTTTTCTTTGCAATATCACTGAAATTGTCCATGTCTCTAGCACTAAATATCATAGTTTGTACCTATTTAGCAGTCCTCTCTTACCAGACTACAACTATTTTCAGAACAGTTTGTGTCTAATTTTGTGTAAAAGACCTTTTTTTTAAAAAAACCAAGGCAGTAAAGGAAAGCGGTGCAACACGACTAAAATGCAAAGTAAAGCGGGAAGCAGCACACGAACAGCTACCCTCTTCAATCAAGGCACAGAACGAGACAAACTAATCAGGCAAAAGAAAAAAATGAGGAAAACGGAGGCCATTTCTTCCCTCCTCCCACCCTGGACGGGTACCGCGGAAAGTTCCAGAAAGCATCCAAGCGCTGCTGGTGTCGTCACCGCGCTGCGTGGCGACCACCTCCGAAGCCAACTGAGAGGTTCGCTTTCCCGCCTCACAGAGCCCCGGAGGTAGGGGCGGGGCCGCGCGAGGGGACGTGGCGACGTCACGTCCGGTTAGGGACGCGCCGCTGTGTATGGAAGAACAAGCGGGGGGCGGGGCTAAGAAAGCGCGCGTTCTCGAGGGGGTGGAGCCCATTTAGGAGCGGCGCGTCACGTCCGGTAGAGTTAGAGTCCTTGCGGAGGAGGTGCGGAGCGCTTCGGCTCTGAGCGACTGACCAAGCCGGGTTCCGCGAGGCTGCGGCGAAGCCTCTATAGAGAAGGCGCGAGAGCTTGGCAGCTTCGATTGGAGCCCAGCGAGCGGCGACGTCAAACCAGGAGTCATGAGCGACAGCGGCGAGCAGAACTACGGCGAGCGGGTACGGACGGCTGGCGTAGGGGCGGCTGTGTGGTCCCAGCGGTTTGCATCTCCCAGGCCCGCCGGGCTCGGGCCGGCAGTCGGGGGCGTGTTAGGCTCCGAAGTGTGAAGCCGGGAGGGGTGGAAGCCCGGGTTCGGATGCCCTTGCAGAAAAAGCCTCTTCTGGTCGGGAGGGAGTCCGCCGGCGGCTTCGTGGGGCTCGGCCCCCCGTCCGTCGTCTTTTCCGTTATTGGGGGCAAAGATTAAAAATGGCCGCGGCGGCCCCTCGGCGTGGGGGAGGGGAGCGGTGTCTGGTTTCGCCGTTGCTCTCCTGCGAGGCCGCGCCGCAGCCATCTTGAGCTGGCGGCCGGGCGCGCCGCCAGCGGCACAAAATGGCGGAGCCGCCGCCCGTCTACGCGGGCCGGGCCGCCGCGCGCCGCGCGGGAGAGGGAGGTTTCCACCCGCTGCTCGGACCCGAGTTCCGAGGACGCTTTCCGAGGGGACACGGTGGAGAGTATTGCGGGGGCCCTTTGGAATGCGTGGGGCACGCTGCTTCCGCTACTTGGAGGGGACCGCGCGCGGGCTTTGTGTTGGTCCCAAGTGGGGGGTTGTACTGGCGAGAAGGCTTTCTGGGTAGAAGTTCCCGCTAGCATCAGAGGAGCTCACGACAAGATTGAAGATGGTTTTCCCTGGGGTCGTGCAGGAGAAATTGGCGGGCAACGATTTCTGGCGCCGTTGCTTCCTTTGTTTGAAGGCATGCTAAGCCTGAGCCGTTACGCCCTTCAGTTTCCCCGCAAAGATGGAGTCTTGGGCATAAGATGCAGAAACTGCGGGGCTAAGACAGTTGCTAAGCTTGAATACAGTAACTTCCCTTAGGGTTCGGGGAGCACCGAATGAAGAGCCAAAAAACGGGGTTTGCCAGAATTTATTTGGAGGTCAAGGAAAACTTGTTAGCGTAGAGGTAATAGAAATGATTTTTGAAGCTTAGACGAATAGGTTGGGTAGAACTTGTGGTTGGTTGGATCTGGTTCTTCCACGTAGTTTTTTGCTTGTCAAGTTTTCGCTAGCTGAATGTTAGGGCTACTCCAAGGTCTGAATACTGTTTTATCAGGTTTTGTTTTTTGTTTTTGTTTTTGTTTTTGGTTTTTCTCCGGTACCGGGAACCGAACTCACGACCTTGCGCTTGCCAGGCAGGCGCTTTTGCCGCTGAGCTAAATCCCCAGCCCCTTTATCAGGTATTTCTATGCGAAGGTCTTGCACGCTTGTACATTAAAAAGACCTTTGATGGTGTCGTAGAAAGCGGTTTTTTTGTTTGTTTGTTTTGGTTTTTTTTTGTTTCGTCTTTTTGAGACAAGGTCTCGCTGTGCAGTCCAGACTGGCCTTGAGCTCACTTTGTAGCCCCGGCTGGTCTCGAACTCATAAGGATCCTCCTGCCTCAGCCTCCCGAGTGCTGGGATTATAGGCGTGCGCCACCACGCCTGGCTGAAAGGGCTTTTTTAGAAAGCATTTTTTTTTGCTCCCGGTACCTCAGTTAATTTGGAGCCAAATCTGATTAAACCAAATTAAACCAATCAGGCTTTGCTTTTATATATACAGACGAATATTGGGTTTTAGGATTTTATGCCCACCTCAAGGTAATTGACTTCATTGACCCCAATGCGTACGTAATTTTCTTAAATTCTTGTTTTGTTACGGTACGAATTTGATTTGAGCTTTCCACTTGGTGCCATTTGAATGTAGTGTTGAAGCTAGTCGGTGTTTGGACTGGGAAACATGGTTTTAAAAGAAAAGTCTTACTAAGGAGGGTTAAATTAAACATATGTTATATGAAGAAAGAAGTAGGTCCCAGTTTGACACATCTAAAGGGAAATTGTCACTCTACAGTTTGAAATTTTCAAAATTGAGCTTACTTATACTAATACAAGGTAACTGTTTATTCACGACCCTGAATGGGCATTTGATCAATTGAAAAAGGAGAAAGAAAAGCTTGTTGAAAGTGATATTTCTCAGTATAAGAACCTTCACTTACGGGAGATTTCCAAACCTTGCAGTTACGGAATAGTGGAGTTGTTTGGTGGCTGTGTTTGCTTTCCACAGGTGATGTTTAAATGGAAGCAGAACAGCTGAAACTAACAACGCCTGATGAAACCACAAAGTTCAGTGGCGCAGTTTAAAAATAATGCAAGGTAGTTCAGGCCCCAGCGCTATACACACAAGGCAGAATAGGGCTGATTGGCTAACCTTCCCTTTCGTAATTTTTTTTTTCTTAAAGACTGGGTGTTACTGTGAAGTTCAGGCTGGCAGAAGTCCTGCCTCAGCCTCCAGAGTGCTGGGGTCACAGACTTGGTGGTCACAGGACATGGTGATGTCCATCTGACCTTCCCCAGCACCCTCCAGAGTGCTGGGGTCACAGGACATGGTGATGTCCACCTAACCTTCCCTTTTGAAAGTGCTTGTGTTCCAAAGGAATTTTTAAAATGTTCCAGACAGTAATCTTTGGCTATACCTGGTGTAAATAGCGTCTCTGGAGCCTGGAAAAAGGATTTCATTGATCTCTAGGCTCGTAAACATTGTAAACGGTTAATTGAAAACGCCTAGATCTCCAGTGTGACCTCATTTGTCAGTGTAGTAACTCTTGAGTTTCCCTCTCCTGTACAGTAGTAGTTGCTTCTTCTGTATCGATTTGGTCCCAGATAGTGTTGGGTGAATATTCACACAACTGTGGTTCATTATGTTTTCCTCATCTTTGTCTGTGGGGTTTAGCATTTCCCAGCTGATTTATAAAGTCAGCTGTCTTCCCTAATCTGCCCAAACCAAAGTAAAATCTCGTTTCCTCTCCAGATTAATGTCGGTATTTTCCAAAATGGTTCACATCTTGTAAAGGAGTTGAGTCCACCTTTTTTTTGAGACTCAGCAGTTTGTCATATGTCACAATTCTGAAGTGTAACTCTTTAAAAACCCCAAATTGTCAGATATAGGCCTGTACAGTTAGCATGTTCTCTGGTCTTCCATGTGATATTCTATGCTCTGAGATTATAATTATTTTGTACCAATGAGCCTACCTCAAGAATCCAGAAACTAAGGAAACACTATCGTATAGGCTAGGTGTTTTAAATTTGTTAAAGATAATTCAAGGTTACAGTAGCAGTTTTAAGCAAACATTCTGACAGAGCAGGTTCTCCAGTAGAATATTACTTTGTGTACACTCATTGTGTTTTGCAACGCAGGCACTTTCATTCTTCCTGTCTTTTTTTTTTTTTTTTGTCTTTATCTTTTTGATACCGGTTTCCGTGTGTAATTTAGGTTGGCCTTGAACTCACTTTGTAGCCCAGGCTGACCTCAACACAGCTGGCCTCCTGCTCCTGCCTCAGCCTCCCAAGCGCTGGGATTACAGGCTTGCTCCATCACGCCCGGCCGGCACTTTTATTCTTTGAAAAGATTAATAGCTTCTCTGTAGAATCCTATCAAATGACCTTTTAAAATTCTGCAGTTTTTCTCTCCTAATCTTGGGATGTCTCTGTTTCTGTAGTTAGCTGGTAGCTCTATAAGCTCTCTGAAGCATTTCTTTCTAAAGAATTGGAGCCATCCCACCAAACTCCTTTTTAAAAGAATTAATTAGAAGTTTGAGGAATTCGTTTGGCTGTTTTGTATCACTGTGACTCTGGCTAGGTATGAGTGTTGAAACCAGATTGAAATATTTTTCTTTGGTTTAAGTAAGAATACTTTAATATTGTGGATATTGTTTGGAGATAGAAGGTGGCTTTTCAAACTGAAATACAAGGTAAGTATTGCTGGTTTTGTTACGTTTGCAGAGGATGTTAGAAGGTCAGAGATGTATTAATGGAATTTGCCTTGTTTGTGCGCCCTGCCTGTCCCTGTATGGGTACAACCCCAAGCCCAAGGGATAAATGTTAATGCTGTGCATTTTTTGACAGTTAAGTTCCTATTTTGCCCAAGACAAAGACAGAGTAATGGTTGTCTCTTGACCTTATGTTTTGTCACGTTGATCTGCATTTATACAAAAAATACTGTTTTCTTACAAGGTACGGTGATTGATGTTTAGGAACTTCTCAGTGTTTTTATCGATCTAGTATTTTGAAGTAAGGGTCAAAACAGAATTAGGTATTGTCATCACTTTGTATGTTTTTAAGCTGCAAGCCAAAAAAAGTTTTCATCATAGCAAATCATAGTCTCAAATTCCAAAAATCTTTGCTTTGAATTGGGTTTTGGAGGTTTTCAGATTAGTTTAATAATGTAAACTGTCATATGGCAACTTGGATGAGGTTCCTGTTGCATTACAATTTTTTGTTTGGTAGGTAAAAATACAGTCCTCAGAAAGCATACTTGTTTTTATTGAAAAGTACTGAGTATTTTGTGTATGTAAATTTAAGGGTCTGCTGTTTCGCAGATCTCCTAAACATGCAGCTTACAGCTGATTTGAGCATGTCAGATGGTTTTCTTCAGAGGCTGTTCTCGGTCTTTGAGGATTTGTTTTTCTACCATCCTTCTGGTAGATGATTTGAATGCAGAAAATAGTCCATACTGTTAGGAACATTGACCTTTCTATAGCAAGGTTGAGTTTTTCTTTGCTTCTCCCATTTATTAAAAATATTTCAACTGTAAAAACATAATTTGTGCATGTTTAATGGTAAATAGACTCCAGTGGTAGTCCCTAAAAACACTTTAACAAAAATTGTGCTGATGATGGAACAAGATTATTTCTAAGTGTAGGGTCTTTTAATCAAAATGCATAACATTAACCTAATCATTGGTCATCTACTTCTATAAAGTGGCTGTTTGAACTTTAGCAGCTAAGTGGAACTAAGCCTGATACTTCGTGTTTTTATTCTTAGAACGTAGCAGAAGGAAGAAGTTGGAAAGGAATAATGAAATAATAGCAGGAAGGTGTCTATGTTGGAACAGTGCTATCTAGAGCTTTGGCCTCTATTCCAGTATCTTCTGCATCTAAGCCCTTGTATCTACTAAGGAGGCCTAAGGAAACCTGCTTGGCATTCTGATTCC